TAGTGTTAAAACTATTTGGTTTGATATCAATAGTCACTTAATTAACTTTATATTTTAGTAATATTAATATATTTTTTAAATTCCTGTTTAAGGCCATTCTAAATTTCATATGGCTACTTGATACATAGTTTCTATATATATCATGTTCAATATCATATTTTTATTATTACATATAAAAGTTAAATTAGTCTATATCAATTCTGCATTTCAACCAAGCCTTCAATTTACTCATAATTAAGACAAGAGGGTTTTCTGAATGCTCTCTGGATAATTAGATGCTCATGCTGTAGATGGTTCTGTTAGTCAAGAGACATTTAACAGAAGTATCTACAAGAACTGCCTTTTAGCTGCACTGTGCTATTTGTGGATGGCCGCCAAAGAAATTACAGCCCCTATGTTAACTATTTGCTTAGCGAAGCTTAAAGAATGACAGCAACTTCCTTATCTTTCTGTCTTCTACTCAATAAAAAAAAAAGACAGAGGAGATTGTTAGTATAGTAAATGTTGATTTACATCAAAGTAAATGATTATAAAAGATGACTTCCTCCCACACTAAAGGAAACACAGAGAACAAGAGTGTTAACAATTAAGAGTTTTGTTTTCCTCCCAACTATGTAGTAGCATGTATGAACGACACACCTCTGTTACTGCAGATTTTGCCATCTGGAGATGCGCATCCTCGCTTGCTTTCCCAGGGGGTGATATCGCACTGGAATTCGCATTTATCTCCATGCCAACCAGCCTCGCAGTAACAGTTTCCACAGTAACACTTCCCATGGCCTTTACCCAAAATGAATTTTATACAGTGAGGAAAAAAGCAACTTTTAAAAGCAGAATTAACTTTCTACCTCTTTGTGATCATTTTTGCCTTCTGAAATAATACAGCAGCTTCACATTCTTTGCTTAAAACAATCAAATTATACAGTTTCCCCCCAAAATATCATACTTGCACCTATAGCTGCATAATTGTACAAATAAAGCAAGCCAAAGCGTCCTTTAACTTTGCCTAGACAGGGAGCTGATTGAAATAAAAGTATTTTTAAAAGACATGATATGGAAAGTTGTTAAGGTCTATTACTTTTCCATCTCAAATGCAGACATCAAACTCAAATGTATCTAAGTATTCACTCCAAGGACATTTCTTAAATTTGCCTTTCAAATATTTCATTTGAAATCAACTACTGAGAAACCAATGGTGCATATTTACTTAGATACACATTATTAATGACCAAAAATTTTTTTAAAGCAGAGGAAACATTCATCTTTTCATTCAACTGTGTCCCACAAGTTGTTATGTTCCACCATCTTGAAAAGAGGTTTTTAGCCTCGTCAGTGTTTAGTCATCCTTTAGATCAATAAAATGGCAAGGACCCTTGGTCTCACAATCAAATTCCCATCCTACCTGTAAGGGCACCCATCATTGTGTGTTCAGATGCTCCTTTTGGCTCCCACCTCTCTATAACCTGTGACCTGCCCATTGTCACATCATTGCTTTCCTCATCCACGTCTAGCAATTTTTCTACAACTTCCCCAAAGATTGCATTTATCCCAAATTCACTTCTTGTGCTCTCTTTTCTTCGTAGTTGTGTCACCTAAACACAAATGTATGTCCTTGTTCTTGTTTTGCTTTTGTAGTCTATTCTTCCTATGTTATAGAAGTTTGTGTTTTATAAGTCTATGGCTAAAATCTTTGGTCATCCATCTCTCTTCTCTTGTAGCCAAATTGCCTTGCAAACTGACTGTGAGTCTATTTTTCTTTCTCTTAATAGCATATTTTCATTACTAGGGCCTGTAAAACTCACATAAGAAGCAGGAAATACAAGAGAATATTTTGGTCACCTACGCTATTCATGTCCAGCAGATGAGACTTCCATCAAGCAGACATATATTCAAAAGAAAGAGACAGAGATGAAGAGAAAAAGTGCTATAGTGAGAGACAGAGAAAGAGACAGAGACGGAAGCACACAATACCATGTTTTCTGTCTAAATGAGCTATACTTGAGGTATTCATGGAAAATAACTTCTTAACCTAACATACAATGACCATTTTTATAACAAATTTTAATTTTAAATATGTTTACTAAAGCAAATGCAAAGGATATCAAATGATTTTATCACTAACAAAATATATCATCTCTACCTTTTATTAACTTGAAAAGATCTCTCTACCTGTACATGCAACAAAACTATTTTCTGGTGCTATATCACAAGCCTCAGGAATTCAAAGACTGCACTGGAAAAAAGCAAGACTGTATACTAATTGCTTTTTCTAGGAGTCAGGCTTTGTAAGATCAATCAACTTATTAGACTGCAGAATTTATTTTCTCTGTAATTTCAGGAAATTTATACAGAGGGGCTATATATGTAAGAATTACCATGATATTAACAAATTACCACAAATCTACATTACTCACACCCAGATTCTTTGAATATTTATAAAATTCAGTATTGAATTAGAGTTTTACTAAGAAATCACTGAGTTCTAGGTGAATAAGGAAACAAAAATCATGTAAAGCTATACCTATATGCAGATATGAAAAATTAAACAGATATCCATATAACTCAAATGAAAATATTGTGACAAGACATGTATGCATAATTCAGATAGAATGTATGCTTCAGGCCAATACACATGCCACACAATAAACATAATTCTTTGCCTTGTGTAAACTGATAAAGCAAGAAAATCCCTTTTTTTTATTGCTTCACTGATGGACTGTAGAATCATCTCTCAACAGATTGGTTTCATGTGAATGACACATGGAAAGATTTACAATCCAAGGCAATGTCACCCCCAGAGGGTGTTTACTGGAGTGCTGGTGTCCTTGGTCAGACTTTGCACCATGAAATTGCTTAAGCCTCAAACAAACGGAAATAACAATTAGAAATGTTGAGAGTAAAACATTTACTGCTGTGTTGTTTCAAGCTAGATTTTTATATTTATAAATGCAAATAGACTTTGCTTTTGTGGTGTGTATCAGAACACAGTGGCCCAAAAGAATGTTCCCTTCCTCTTTCCTGATCTGTAATAATTGGAAATGAAACATCCAGAGGACAAATACATAATATTTGTGGGTGGATTTATCCAATTGATCTAATTATTTTGGACTGAGCCCTTTAGGAGAGAATTGTCTGAGTAGCATCTAGCTTAGGTCACTGGCTTGGAAAAATGAATAGAAGATTTTTGTGTTTGTTTTATGCTGGTGCATTGTGCAGCCAGAAGACCAAGGAAAAAGAACAAAGTGGGCCTAAAATGAGAGTATCTGGATGACCACAGGCGTCGAAGCTACAGAAATGTAATCAAAGGGACAAGCCTGTCATATGCTAGTGACACTTTCTCAGGGCCTTCTGATTCCTCGAGGCTTCATCTACCCCCAATCCTTCTGGGGAAATACTGTTCTAAAACCACCCTTTCCAAGTGCAAGACTTGGATATGATTTCACTCAGATACAAGTCAAATATAAGTTTAACAATAGCAGAGAAGAATTTACCTAAACAGAAGTGATCCTCACTGCTTTCTACTTTCCTTTTCCAGTGCTAGCCAAGGCTGCAAATTGAAACTCTGGGTACAGGCTTGCAGTTAGGTAAGCAAAAGAGAAGAAAACTTCAGGTGGTGAGGATTCTTCATGTGGAGCTCTCAACTCTGAGGGACTGACGCAGTTCCGAATGGCGAGGGGGCAGGAGCACAGTCTTTGGCGTCACACAGACACAAGTCTAAATTCTACCAGGATTGGTGCAACAACCCTGGGTAAGTTACCTAATTTTTCCAAGGCCCTGTTTCCACATCTGTCTGCATGGATAAAAATAATTCCCACCCTAGAGTGATGTTATGAAACTTAACATAATGAACATAAAGCACTTACAGCAGAACTTGGCACTAGCAAACATCTGAGAACTGGTACAACAGAAAAATGGACGGAGCTACAGTGGTACATAGAAAAGGTCACAAAAAATGTTATCCAAGTGTGGAGTGGGTGGGGAAGGGAGAGGTACACCCTAGGCTAATAATCCTATTGCCCTTCAATGTCCCAGTAGAACAGGAGACTATCTAAAGGTATTTGGTTTAGAAAGGGGGGAAAAATGAAATTAAAACATACAGCTCAGGGAGAAGGAGAACATAGAATAATAGTGGCTAAGGGGAGCAGAGCATGTGGCATTCCACTAGGACTACTTCAGAGCTATTCAGTTGGTCAGTTGTCATAATGATAAGGCTCTCCTCTGGGGACAATTCAGTTTGCATTTAGAAAGTACTAGTCTACTCTTAATGCCCTAGTCTAACTCTCCTTCTGTGAAGTATTTTCCAAAAAAACACAAGTTTAAATTGAATTAGTATACCTAGAGTAGAAATTTATACAGAGATGAAAATACAATGAAATAGGTGCAAAAGCAGATTCTTTTATGAATTTCTACAGAGTCGATATACATACCTCCACATATTTCTTCTGTTTCATCGTCTATGCATTCTCTATCATCACACTCACAAAATTTACCATAAACAAGTCCATTTCCATCTGAATTATCACACTTACATCTGCCACAGTGACATGTACCTAAACCATTAAAACAAAGAAAAGACTGTTACATGCATATAAATTATAATTAATGAATTTTTATCCTGTCTCTTTCAAGAGGGTAGATAATTTAAATCAATTTAATATTTTAATTATGTATATTTATAGGTATGATGAGATAGAAAACAAGCTACTCTTTCTTGAGATTATTGTAGCATAGCAATCATATTTTATAACACACAGCTCTTATTATTGACTTTTAATATTTTAATGAATGTAAATTTGACCTCTCCAAGTGCAGAGCTACTTTGGTTCATGTCCATCCACCCAATGCATGAATGAATATATTCTGATTACACCTGGGTCTGAAGTGAACTAAAGCAGAAAATTCTAGGCTTTGTGATGGGGATAACCTTGCTTATCTTCCTCACCAGTATTTATTCAATGCTTTGCACAATGTTTGAACATATTACTTATATAATAAATATTTGTGGAAATAATTCATTATCAAATGCATAAATGAAAAACTCATATGCCCTAGATAATTTCACATCCTCAGCATTAACTGATACTGATATAGGTGTTCTTAAAACAGTGGAATCAGAGTGGGTTTTCTTAGGCCTAGATTCATGAAACCTCACCAAATTTTCAAGGCAGCTGAGGCACCGGAGTCATCTGGTCTACCACAAGTCAAATACTCACTCAAGTCTGCAGATTTTACTACATCCCCCCCAGAGTGATTTCACTGAAAGTAATATTGCATTCAAATGATCTTGAGAGGTAGAAGGGCCACTTTAGGAATTTCCTTTTTAATGTATATTTTTCAAGTTTTAACTGATCATGACAGCAATCAACATATATCAATTGAAACTTTATCACTTACCAGAAACCACCCCAGATTCTGAAAATCCCACAGGGAATGAAGTAGGCCATAATCTTCTTCTCAGAGTTTTATGTAAGTGAAAACCAATGTGATAAAATAAACAGAGAAGTGCAAAGTGTTGCAGAAGCACATAGCAAGGGGATTTAACTGACAGCTAGAGGTCAAAGACCTCTTTTGTGCCTGAGGAAGTGAAAGCCAAAAACATGGCTAAGAGTGGGGAGATGGTGAATGGGCTCACTTCCAGCAAGAGACCATAGCACAAGCTCTGTGATAAAAGGGGATATAAGAGGGACAAAAATCAAACTGGGTTGAAGTACACAAAATAACACAAAAAGTGGCATAAAATGAATAAAGCAACTAATGGTGTAGTTTATGGGCATCTTATAGGTCATGTTAAAGATTTCCAACGTTAGTCCAAGAATAATTGGAAGACATAGACGTGTTCTCATAAGGGGGTCCCATGATCAGGTGTACCTTTTTACCAGGTTACTTTGGCTGTCGTGTAGAGAATGAACTGAAGCGAAGCAAAAGTGGACATGAGGAAATGAGTTAAGAGGCTGTTACATTTGTCTGCAGGAAACAAGATAGAGGCTGGAGATAGATGATGGCAGTGAGTTTAGAAAGAAGCAAATACATTTGGGGATATTTTCAGGAGAAGGGGTAGACAACATCTGGTGACTGACTGGGTGTGATGGTTGAAGGAAGAGAGGAAACCAAAGATGCTGTTGATACTTGGCTTGTACTACTAGATATTGGCAATTCTATATGTGGCATACTGGAAAGAGCATAGATTTCTGACTACAGTAGATGTGTGGTTGAATCCAGGTTTTTAATCCTTACTAGCTGTGCATTTTTGAGGTCATTAATTTCACCTCTAATTTTCAGATTCCATATCCACAAATAATCTCTACGTCATAGAACTGCTGTGATGACCAAGTGATAAATTTATCACCTACGTATCTTTCTAGAAACACTGCTGTGCTTAGTACATAGTGGGCTTTCAGAGAATTTAGGGTTCTTTCTCTTCTCCCATTAAGATATTGAATATGAAAGTCATATTTCCAAATATTTCTCCATATTCACCTTGTATTTATGGACTCTGACAACATCTTTGTTTTCTTACCTTCTACATGCTTCTATTACCCAGATCACTTGCAATTTGTTATTATCTATAAGAGTTTTTCTCACAGTTACATATAAATGGTGACTTTGCAAAATTTGAGTTTATTTTTCTACCTTGAAAATACTTACGTGAATTTTACTTTTATTAAACTTCATTTTCTTGTTATTTGAAATCTAACGCTATAATTCGTGCTATTGGTTCATCCAATTTTTGTTCTCTAATTATCACCTTTCTTTTTTATTTTCACATTTATTCATTCTGCCTCTGAACTACCCACAGATTCAGTTATTAAACTATCTTGTTACCTAGTATGTTATTGGCAAAGTACTAGGTGTTATAAGAAATAATGAGATGATTAAAATTAAGTAAATCATAGACCAAGAAGAAAGAGATAATCAATCAATAAGTTTTATATAGCATTTCCCACAAATCTGTTGCAAATGCCTTTGTGTCATGTGTCCTTTGGTTTTACACACACACACACACACACACACACACACACACTTATTACCATATATATTATATATAACCTAAGACACATGACACAAAGATATTTTTAACAGATCTGTGGCAAACACTATATAGAAATTATAAACCTCAGTCTGGCTTTGAGAAGGAGGAAAGGTAGAGTGAAGAAGTAAATTCTTGAGTTGGTATCTGATATATGAATAGGATTCCAACAAGTGGAGATGAAAAGGAGATTTTTGATGTCAAGGAAAAAGCCTGGGATAAGGAATAAGACTGAAAAATTAAAGAACAGTGAAGAGTTTGGCTTAAGTTTGAAAAAAAGTGTCACCATATAAATGGTGACTTTGCAGAATTTGAGTTTATTTTTCTATCTTGAGAATACTTACATGAATTTTACTTTTATTAAACTTCATTTTCTTGTTATTTGAAACCCAATGCTGTAATTCATGCTTAAAGGCAGGTTAAAGGCAAACAGGAGACCATCAAGAATATCATGAAGGATTTTAGTTTTTTTTTGAAACAGAGTTTCACTCTGTCACCCAGGCTAGAGTGCAGTGATGTTATCATAGCTTTCTGCAACCTCAAATTCCTGGGCTTCAGTGATCCTTCTGCCTCAGCCACCTAAGTGGCTGGGACTATAGGTATGCACCGCCGCACCCAGCTAATTTTTCTATTTTTTGTAGAGATGGGGTTTCACTCTTGGTCAGACTGGTCTCAAATTCCTGAGCTCACATGATCCTCCCACCTCAGTCTCCCAGAATGCTAGGATTACAGGCGTGAGCCACTGCTCCTAGCCAGATTTTGGATTTTATTTGTGGGAAGACCGGGACCTTTTTACAGTTTGGGAGCAGAGAGTAACTTGGTTAGGGCTGAGGATGCAGAAGCTGGTTTTGGGGGGTTTTATGTGGTTTTTTTTTTTTTTTTGCCAGAAAACATGGGAAGGAACAGGCTCTGCCTCTGAATTCTGCAATTCCACAGGCAGGCTCACTCTCATCCACACATCGGAACCATTCCTGGCTGATGTGGGAAGTTTACAACAGCTCAGAGACTTCCTGTCTCACTCATCAAGTAGAATTCACAACTGAGCCTCCAAGACATGGCATATGGAAGCCCAGGCAAAAGTGCCAGACTCCTGTGCTCATGCTGTGTCATACTGCTTCTCTTTCTTGGTTGCCAGTTAACTCAGTCTCTAGGACTGGTCTTCTGCTTTACACTAGATTATTTTAGCTCTCATTTTTTATAGTGCCTAAGATAGCAGACTCTCTCCAGGATGATTTACCAGACTCATACACCAGCCTGCATCCTTTGTAGGGGTGCTGGACCTCATTGCACTTGGCACACTGAGCCTCACCTTTCTGGGTCCCCAACAGAGTCAGCTTCTGGAACTCTTCAGTCAACAGCTCTACCTCATTCTGCCCTTCAGCCTTATTCCACACTCCATTTACCTCCTCTTCCCCTTCTACTCCAAGCCACTTCCAGAAAATCACAATGTGATATGAAAGGGAGAACCCATAGGCTAATGCAATCTGGGGAGAATGGTCCTGAACTAGGCTGGTGGAAGTACATATTAAAAGACAGACAAGTGAAAATGAGATTGCCAAAGTAAACCATGAAAGGCTTAGATACTGAGATGAAAATAAGCGAAAAAGAAAAGATCAAATGTAATCCTGAGTATGAATTTACCTTTTAGACCAGGAATCTCACTTCTGGTAATTTACCCTGAAGATACATCTCTAAAAATATGAAAATATTACATATGCACCAGATCATTCTGGGCATTGCTATTTGCAATTTCAAAATATTGGAAACTGTCTAAATGCTCAAGCATAGGAGATTGAATAAAATATGTCACATACATAGAATTAAGCACTATGCTTTTGGAAAAAGAATGAGAAAGATGTCTACCAACTGATATGGAGTGAATTCCAGGAGATAATGTTGAGTCACCAAGGTGGTGTGCAGAAGAGCATTTATAGTGTGCTACCATCTGCACTGGAAAGAGATGAAAAATAGTAACACATACATGTGTCTATCTATCTTTACAAAAAGAAACATACACAGATAAGGTAGGAAGCAGTGAAGCTGGTTACCTATAAAGTTGAGGGTAAGTAAGGTGCCAGGTTTAATGAAGAGAGTGATGATTCTTGGATTATGCTTTTGTGTATAGTTTGACTTTTGGAAGCATGTTAGTGCTCTACACATTATAAAATGTATATTGATGAAGATGAGAAGGGATTTTTAAAAACCTAAAACCGAAAGCAATCTGAGATAGATAAACTCAATTGTACTTCAAATGCGTACCATAACCACGCTAAAGGGCAGAAAATAAAAGAAATCCAAGTAGCTTATAAACATAGCATTTGATTGTATCCTCTAATCTTCTGAGGAATCCCTGAGTAGATAATGCCAGTCAGGCTTCCTAAGTGACCATACCCTTTCTTGATTTGCAAAAATAATTAAATTTACTTGACCTATTTCTTATAAATGCCTATATTAAAGAAAAATAGAACTTAACCTCAATCAACCA